TAAAATCTTGTTTTATGACCATGCCAATGTAAGAAAATGCCTGCATAATGTTATCCTGGTGTGGAAAAGAGGTATTCACTGAGAAGGTTGCTGGGGGTTCCAGTCCTGATTTGCATGGCCTTACGAAGTCCCTTTCTCCCTCTGAGCCTCCATTTTCCCTTTTAGCAGGTGACCCCCTCCTTCCAGTTCTGGGCCGCTTCCATCTCCATTGTGAGTGTGAGGTTGGGTCTTCTCCCAAGCAACCACCTTGGTGCCCTGGCTGTACCTGTGGGTCTGTTTTGGAGGCCTCCCAGTCGAAGGCAAAGCAACAGGAATTCCGTTGGGGGCATATGGAGCTGGGAAGAGGCCAGTTTACTTGTAGGGCTTGGCTCTTACTCATGATACTTTTTTTTCCCTTTCTTTATTATCTTAGAACCATTCAGATGGTTGCCTAGTCTACTTTGGCTCCTTTAAACAACTCTACACTTCAGGTTTATTTAAAAAAAAAACACAAAATAGGTTTATGACTGATTTAAGCCAGGAAATTCCCTAATGGGAATATCCTTAATGAGATTTTCTAAAGAGAACCCTCTATGAAGAGCTGGAATTAATTGATTATTTGTAAGGTAACCAAGCAAAGTTTATGATAAGATCATGAAGTTTGTGGGAACGGAGCGTAAGCCACACTAAACATACACACACACACACACACACACACACACACACACACACACACACACAGATGCACACTATTCCTGGGGAGGCAGAGAGCACAGAATTAGCCTCAGGAATCCCCACTCCTGTGTGACCTCGGGTAAGGCACGTCCCTTCCTCACTCAGCTCTCTCTTCCTCCATACAAGAGAGACTACCATGAACATGAGTGGTAAGCCACAGTAGCAAGGCCGTGAGGAGGGTCCTGGTGTCCTGGTAGACATTTAGTGGTCTCTTCTAGCTCTAAAATCCTATGGGATTCTCTATTTTGTGGCTGGGCTGAACATGTAGTATAGAATATTCAAATTTGAAATTCTTTGAGCCCAGCAACTTTGCAAAGTTATTTTTGTTATCAAATTTTATAAATTCCACTGTTGTTTCTTGAATAGATTGTTAATCTAGTTAATCTATATAAATATCCATAAATATGGAAATATAAACCAATAGCATTTTTCTAACACTCTCAGTAGTCAGCCTTTGTGGTATTTTTATAATGTCTTGTTCAGCAAATGGCAGTTTTTACATCCACTATTGCCTACTAACAAAAGAGACTTGAAGTCTTCTTGGAAGTTACAGATTTTGTATTTCTTCCCTAATATGCTGATATCTGAGAGAATGTGTCAAAAAGTGCCATCTAGAATGTGAGTCATGAAAGTCAACTGGCAGAAGACAGCTTAGGAAACTGTCATTAGAGCCACTGGTGGAAAGTCTAGGACTCTGACCCCTGACATCAGCTGCAGCCTTATTTAAGCAAATGGAAGAGAGAGCTTGAGTGAGAGCAAACTGTCAGGCCACTTGGAATTCACAAGGTGTCTGCCCAAGGAACCCGTGTATATTGTAACAGTGACAGTGATGATGGCAGCTAATGTTTATCATGTGCCCACTGGATGCCAGATGCTGTTCTAAGGGCTTTCTCCTGTAAGGGAGGCACTAATATCATCAGCCCATGTTACAGGTGAGGAAGCTGAGGCAATAAATAGAAATAATATGCCCAAGATCACACAGCCATAAATGGGAGAGCTAAGATTTGACTCTACACAGAGCCTGTAGTCTTAGCTATTACCCTAAATGTTTCACTAGGAAGTAAAAATTATTAAAAATAAAAAATTACTTAAAAAATAATTCCAAAACTGTTTTTATGCTTTTAAAAAGTTCAAAAATAACTTGAAGGATCTGTGTTTTAATCTACTATCTTGATTACTCAATTTATTTCTGTACTCACTATTTTTTACTCCATACAAGTATTTAAAATTAATTTTCTGGTTATTAATTTTCTTCCCTGAATAATTAGAAAAGGTGAAGTATTACAAGTTAAGAGACTCAGGCTTTGCCATGCGATTACTGTGTGAATTTGGTTGAGGCCTCAGTTTCCTCATGTTTATTAGAGGGTTCCTTTCTTTAACTGAAACAGTTCAGCATGTGTAAATGTCATTCTGTGAACTTAAGAGACACTGCCTGTAGAGAGTAGATGGCTGGGGCCAGTGGCCAAGGGGCTGGCTTCTCCAGCCTGGGTGTAAGGGTTGCAGGCTACAGCTCCACCTCCACGTCTTGGCAATGAACCAGCCTAAGATGTCACAGAAACATGCTCAAGCTGGCCAGCACTCAGTATGATATTTAGAAAGAAGAAAATAAAAGCTTAAGGATGATCAAGTTCTCTTAAGTAACATTAAACGAAAGCATGCTATGCTTCTTCTAATTTCCTCTGAAAGCACTTCTCATATTTGCGAAGAGAATGACAGGTTGAATATGTCAGCCCGTCATACTTCGGATGTGATGTGTGGACTGGTAGTTCATCACAAAATCATCCACTTTATAGGAACCAGTTAAGTTTCAGTGCCAACTCTTGTTCTCAAACAGCAAGATGACTGCTAACTATGGTGTGTATATGTTAGTGGCCTGAAATTACAGTGATATTGTTATTTTAAGGTAGAAATGGTAGAAGGTCCTCACTCATCATATGCATGCAACGATATTATTGTTTAGGGAAAATAAGATGTGAATACTTCAAAAAATCACTGTTTTTAAGAATAATCACTTTTGTCTTTTCAGTCTACCATGCAAATTCATAGAGACCATAAACAGATTAATAAATTATTTTGTAACTTGCCATCCAAATTATTTATTCATTTACATATTCAAAATTACTTATTAGGGCCCTGCCAGACATAAAGAACTTGAAAAGACAAATTCTCAATTGCTGTTATAGGATTAAAAAAAAATTTTTTTTGGAGGCCTACAAACCTCTGCAATTCCATTTTTTAAATATCAAGAATTAGTCACCTTGGTAACAATTGTGGTGTGTATGAAATGCTAAATATTTATTAAATAGAATTGAATACTGACTTGTTAGTTGTTCCTCTAAAAATTTCAACTCCTGCCTCTGTCCCTCTCCTCCCCTTTGCAATGCAACTATGCCTTCAAACAGCATTCTTTAAAAGTCGGCTTTATGGCTTTGGAGGAAGAAGCTGATTTCACAGCCAGATTTGCCACTGCTGTGGAAAACAGAGCGCACATGCAAGCCAGCTGAAGTCATGCGGACTGCAAGGATTAGGGCCGCGGGGGCCTCCACTGCTGCTGTCAAATTGCAATTGGAAACAGCTTTTCCAAAGTACAGCATGAGAAATCAGGAATTCCTGTCCACAGTTCCCCAACCCACTGGGTTTTTATCAGGCTTGGTACAACCCATTAGAGATCAGAAATATGAAAATCATGATGAAACCAAACAAGAGTATTTTCTGGTTTCCAAGTTTTGTTCTGCCTGGATCCCTTCCAAGCCTGTAATTACTGTCACTCACCAGTTAATAAGGGAACCATTTCTGCCTAGGGACAGGAGCTCCAGGAAGGCTGGACCCAAAGGTCAGGCAGGCTCAGTTCAGTGACCTGCCTTCTGTCCAATCCCTGGATGTGCAAATTGTCTAACTGCTCAAATTCTTAAGTTTATCTCAGTTACTTGAACTGTATCTGTCACTTAGGGATAAAATAACTTTTGCAGAGATCATAGAAAAACTATTTAGAACATTAATAAACTAGAACCATTCAATGAAATTTTTTTTTTTTTTTGGGCACTCCAGCTTTAAAGGAAAGAATCTACTCTCAGGAAAACAAGCTCAAGTCAGCAATTTAGTTTAAAAAAGTAAAATAACTTTCAGGATTTGGCTTGAGATTAATGCAGATGTAGCCCAATTTCCTATACCTCTGTCTAGATTTAGCAGATCTAGAGGTCAATTATGGCCACATCCACTTCATTTGTCAGCTCTTCAATGATCTTTGAGACACAATTGCTAAAGTAGGAAAATGAATTAATCAGAGAGTTGATCAAAAAATGAGCTTATCTGATAAATTACCAGCATACCTGTTACATATGAGTCACTCATTCTGGTCACGATACAATGCTGTGTTATACATGGATTAGGTAACACCCAAAAGTGAGCCAGCTGTAACTTTTTACCTTGAAAGATTCTTAATTAAAATTCCCTTGGATGTATGATTTCCAGGCAAGGAAGGAGCTGTGATTTGATTTTTTTTTTTTTAACATGCCTTAAAGACTCCAGTCAAATTCCATCTATTCAGTGAAACTTTCCCTGGTCCCCTAATTTCTCTTTTGTCTTTCTCAGCAAGTTTCTGGGACCTCTCTTCAGCACCGGACATTCTGTACAATATATGTAAGTTGCGAGTAGGTGAATATTCCCCGACTATATGCTGGGCTGTTTCCCCAAAGGCAGTGATTATGTCTTACTCATTTCTGAAGCCCTCTCCTCCCCTGTTCTGAAATTAAAAACTAGAATTCAAAACAAAACAAACAGAAAAGCCCCTTCTTTTGTCTCAAATGTATTATTAATTTCTTAGGGAAGAAGATGTTTTCAGAAAAAAGTATAGGCAAATGATGGACAAAGTTTCAGAAAGGAAGAGAAAGCTCAGGGGGAGAGCATTATGTGCAAATTGGATGTTCAGCAAAGGTAAACAAACCAAGGATCTGAAACAGTACCCAACCAACACCATAAAGCTTGCCCCAAACTGGAGCAAATTTAGACTTATTAGGACATTCTTTAAGAAGCAGCATTCAATTTTTGGACAGAAATTTTCAAAAAAACCCTTGTCCTCTAATAAAAGCAATTTCTTAAGAACACCTTAGAAATCTACTTAATGAAAAATCTATAGTTTGGAGAAACTTTTATCAAGACGGATCAAATCAAGAAAAAAAATTCTGGTTAACTATAAATTAAGTAGAATGTTCCACCAGCTGGGCCTCATCTTCAATCTGGCAATGAAATCTATTTGTTAAGAGCAATGAGACTTGAACAGCCCTTACCTTCGTGAATATACATCTTTTGAGCATCTTCAGGATGAAGTAGCCCCAGTAAAGATTAAGAATTTGCAGGACCATGAGCTGTAGGTTGAGGAAGATGCATGAAAAGAAAGGCTCAAGGTACTGCAGAGGCAGAATCAGCGTGAAATACAAAATCCTGAAAAACCAAACAGATGAGAGTATTTCATTACAGTCAAAGTACTTGTGAATTTTCAGTGAGAAAACAAATACTTTATCTCTCAAGGCATACAACACTTATTTCATTCCTAATGATGTCCAGGAAAGTCTCAAGAGAAAACAATATGATAATATTACCTTATATATCATTATTGGCAAGCCACAAAAAAATACAGTCTGCCTCCTGGGAGAAAAGTTAAAGCAAATGGAATTTTTATTGCCATGCTGCCTACACTCCAATGTTTCTCTACCTCGGTTTCCTCTCTGCAAAGAGATGAGTGTACACTAACCCCACTCACCTTCTCAGGATTGGATAACACGAGATAATGAATGTGTATATGGGGTTATTATTGCCTTTTGACACAATCTCATTTATTTGGCATCAAAAGTGAATGAGGGAAAGAAAAAAGTGAGTGAGGAATTCTACAAGAGTAAATTTTGTGGATAAAAGAGACTTTTTAAGGAAGCAAAAGTTCTGTTATTACTTCTATTTCCACTTTCTAAAGTGAATTGCATACTTTATTAATTTATAAACAGACTCCTGGACACAATTTGAACTGCCCTCGATGACCAGAATGCACAGTGCCTTCAGATACAATTGCAGTATGAAGGCTATCTGTTGTCTTCCCAAACTGCATACACTGCTAGGATTTTAGAGTTCCTGGATAGGTTTGTTTGTAAGTATATTATTCGAATTATAAAAATAATTTATTCATATAAAATTGGAAAAATAAGAAAGTTGCCCATAAAATCATGATTTTAAACAAATAATACTGTAATTTTTGTGTGTTATCTTCTATTTTTTCCTACATATATTTATTTTAATTTTAAATTAACATATAGTAAAATTGACTATTTTGGGGTGTGCAGTTCTATGAATTATAATATGTGCATAGATTTGTGTAACTACCACCACAATATGGAGACAGAGCAGTTCCATCATCCCCCAAACACCAGTGCTGTCCCTTTGTAGTCACATCCCCAGGCCTAACACTCGGCAACCCCTTATCTATTCTCCATCCCTTTAATTTTGTCTTGTCAAGAAGGCCATACAAATGGAATCATACAGTGTGTCAGCTTTTGAGACTGCCTTCTTTCACTCAGCATAGAGCCTTTGAGATTCATGCAAGTTGTGGGTATCAACAGCACGCTCCTTTTTTTTTTTATTACTGAGTTGCATTCCATTGTGTGGATGTACCCATTACAGAACATTTGTATTATTTCCAGTTTTTGACAACTATGGACACAACTTCTATAAATATTTATGTACAGGTTTTTGTGTGCACATAAGTTTTCATTTCTCAAGGGTAAATACATAGGGTTGGGATTGCTGGGTATCACACTGAAAGTATATGTTTACCTTTATAAGAAATTGAAAAGCTGTTTCCCAGAGTGGCTGTTTTGCATCCCTACCAGCAACGTCCAAGAGCTCCAGTTGCTGCTCATCTTGAGCAGCACTTGCTATTGTCCTGTAGAGACTTTGCCACTGTAGTAAAAGTAGCACGCGTGGGATCTTACGTTCAATTCCATTTAACTTTAAATCAAAAACATTTTACCTGAAAAACTTGGTGTATATTGTCTTTCCCAAATCAAAGTTTATTTCTTTAGATGTGTATATTCCTAAAGGTGAGAATACTATTCCAAGGCATACATTAAAAGTATAGAAGTTCAAGGTTATATTAAAAGCTATTAAGACTTTACCAGGTTATTTTCCAAAATTATAACAATTTAGAAGGTGACCAGCAATTTATGAAAGAAGAGTTTTATTGAACCCCCCTAACCAGTATTAAGTGGGTTTAAACTTTGCTAATTTAAAAAATAAAACAATTCTTTTAACATCTTTATTGGAGTATAATTGCTTTACAATATTGTGTTAGTTTCTGATGTATAACAAAGTGAATCAGCTATATGTATACATATATCCCCATATCCCCTCCCTCTTGCGCCTCCCTCCCACCCTCCCTATCCCACCCCTCTAGGTGGTCACAAAGCACTGAGCTGACCTCCCTGTGCTATGCAGCTGCTTCTCACTAGCTATCTATTTTACATTTGGTAGTATATATATGTCAGTGCTACTCTCTCACTTCATCCCAGCTTACCCTTCCCCCTCCCTGTGTCCTCAAGTCTATTCTCTACATTTGCGTCTTTATTCCTATCCTGCCCCTAAGCTCATCAGAACCATTTTTTTTTAGATTCCATATATATGTGTTAGCTTACAGTATTTGTTTTTCTCTTTCTGACTTACTTCACTCTGTATGACAGACTCTAAGTCCATCCACCTCCCTACAAATAACTCAATTTCATTTCTTGTATATATGTGCCACATCTTCTTTATCCATTCATCTGTTGATGGACACTTAGGTTGCTTCCATGTCCTGGCTATTGCAAACAGTGCTGCAATGAACATTGTGTTACAGGTCTCTTTTTGAATTATGGTTTTCTCAGGGTATATGCCCAGTAGTGGGATTGCTAAGTCATATGGTAGTTCTATTTTTAGTTTCTTAAGGAACCTCCATACTGTTCTCCATAGTGGCTGTATCAGTTTACATTCCTACTAACAGTGCAAGAGGGTTCCCTTTTCTCTACATCCTCTCCAGCATTTATTGTTTGTAGAATTTTTGATAATGGCCATTCTGACTGGTGTGAAGTGATACCTCACTGTAGGTCTGATTTGCATTTCTCTACTAATTAGTGAGGCTGGGCATCCTTTCATGTGTTTTTTGGCCATCTTATATCTTCTTTGGAGAAATGTCTGTTTAGGTATTCTATTTTTGGATTGGGTTGTTTGTTTTTTAATATTGAGCTGCATGAGCTGCTTGTAAATTTTGGAGATTAACCTTTTGTCAGTTGCTTCATTTGCAAATATTTTCTCCCATTCTGAGGGTTGCCTTTTGTCTTATTTATGGTTTCCTTTGTTGTGCAAAAGATTTTAAGTTTCATTAGGTCCCATTTGTTTACTTTTGTTTTTATTTCCATTTCTCTAGGAGGTGAGTCAAAAAAGATCTTCCTGTGAATTATGTCATAGAGTGTCCTGCCTATGTTTTCCTCTAAGAGTTTTATAGTGTCTGGTCTTACATTTAGGTCCTTGCTGAGTAATCCTGGTTGTAGGTTTTTCCCTTTCATCACTTTAAAAATGTCCTGCCACTCCCTTCTGGCTTGCAGAGTTTCTGCTGAAAGATCAGCTGTTAACCTTATGGGGATTCCCTTATATGTTATTTGTTGCTTTTCCCTTGCTGCTTTTAATATGTTTTCTTTGTATTTAATTTTTGATAGTTTGATTAATATGTGTCTTGGTGTGTTTCTCCTTGCATTCATCCTGTATGGGGCTCTCTGTGCTTCCTGCACTTGACTATTTCCTTTCCCATGTTAGGGAAGTTTTCAACTATAATCTCTTCAAATATTTTCTCAGACCCTTTCTTTTTCTCTTCTTCTTCTGGGACCCCTATAATTCAAATGTTGGTGTGTTTAATGTTGTCCCAGAGGTATCTGAGACTGTCCTTAATTCTTTTCATTCTTTTTTCTTTACTCTGCTCTGCAGCAGTTATTTCCACTATTTTATCTTCCAGGTCACTTATCCATTCTTCTGCTTCAGTTATTCTGCTATTGATTCCTTCTAGAGAATTTTAAATTTCATTTATTGTTTTGTTCATCATTATCTGTTTGCTCTTTAGCTCTTCTAGGTCCTTTTTAAATGTTTCTTGTATTTTCTCCATTCTATTTCCAAGATTTTGTATCATTTTTACTATCATTATTCTGAATTCTTTTTCAGGTAGACTGTCTATTTCCTCTTCATTTGTTTGGTCTGGTGGGTTTTTACCTTGTTCCTTAAGCTGCTGCATATTTCTGTGTCTTCTCATTTTGTTTAACTTACTGTGTTTGGGGTCTCCTTTTCACAGGCTGCAGGTTAACAGTTCCTGTTGTTTTTGGTGTCTTCCCCCAGTGGGTGAGGTTGGTTCAGTGGCTTGTGTAGGCTTCTTAGTGGAGGGGACTTGTGCCTGTGTTCTTGTGAGTGGGGCTGGATCTTGTTCTTCTGGTGGGCAGGGCCACGTCCGGCAGTGTGTTTTGGGGTGTCTGTGAACTTAGTATGACTTTAGGCAATCTCTCTGCTATTGGGTGCGGCTGTGTTCCTGTCTTGCTAGTTGTTTGGCATGGGGTGTCCAGCCCTGGAGCTTGCTGGCCGTTGGGTGGAGCTGGGTCTTAAGTGTCGAGATGGAGATCTCTCAGAGAGCTCTCGCTGATTGATATTACATGGGGCCAGAAGGTCTCTGGTGGTCCAATGTCCTGGACTAGGCTCTCCCACCTTGGAGGCTCAGGTCTGACACCTGGCCGCAGCATTAAGACCCTGCCAGCCACACGGCTCAGAAGAAAAGAAGGAAAAAAGAAAAAACCACGAACAGATAGAACCACAAACCAAATGGTAAAAGAAAAACAAGGGGGGAGAGATGAGACAGTGGGATGCAGTGTGGGGTCTGACTTGGGGTTTCACCTGAGGCTTCCTTCCACCCCTGGCTACCGAGCTGCAGAGAAGGCAGGAGCTGCTGCCCCTGCAGGCTGCCCCATCCTCCCTCCAAAACAATTTCAACTTGCATTTTTTGCAGCCTTTGACAGTTCCCTTTGACAGTCTGCTTAGTAGCTCTATTTCCTTTCTTCGTGAGTTATTAGTTTAAGACCTTTATTCAAAAAGCAATAATATGGGACTTCCCTGGTGCCACAGTGGTTAAAAATCCGCCTGCCAATGCAGGTGACATGGGTTCAAGCCCTGGTCCAGGAAGATCCCACAGGCCGCAGAGCAGCTAAACCCTTGCGCTACAACTGCTGGGCCTGGGCTCTAGAGCCTACAAGCCACAACTACTGAGCTTGTGTGCCACAACTACTGAAGCCCGCGTGCCTAGAGCCCGTGCTCCACAAGAGAAGCCTCCACAATGAGAAGCCCGCGCACTGCAATGAAGAGTTGCCTCCGCTTGTCGCAACTAGAGGAAG